GTTACATACTATTTCCCTGAATTTCAGAAAAGGAGCTCTGGAAATCACTCTGTTTTTTAGGTAGATTAGAAGTACTGACATTATTTTCCTGGAAATGCTGGGGAGAGGAGTGGAAAGAAATACTTGGGTCACATAACCAAGACTTAATGAAAAAAATATTTTTTTATCTTCTTCCTTCATCAACTCATTCAATAGACAATGAGTTTAAACTGTGTGACATATACTGTGCTAGGCAACCAGGGCATGAATATAGACAAGATACTCTGCATTCAGGAACTTAGAGTAGAGGTAACCTCCACCACATGTACAAGTATACATATATATACTGAGTGGCCAGATTATTATGACGAGTGCCGCAGTATTGAAGGCAAAAGGTAGCCCAATGAAGGTACTGATGGGGTGGTCATAATAATCAGGCCACTCAGTGTATATCAAGGTCTTGGCAAGTCTGAAATAATTTCTTACCAAGATTTGGATCCCTCCCCCCATATTAACATGTTATTTGGATAGTTCAGAGAACCACTAGATTTTCTGATAGGTATTCATCATATTTCTTTCCTACAAAGGAAATCTTCTCTGGCATATGAAAAAAATGTTATGCTGCCATATTTTCCCTCCAATGATGTCTCTTATGAAATGTTTCATGTCCTTAAATCCTCACTATGTTTTTTAATGCCATATTGTTTTTCCCTTAGAGAGACAACTCTGGTTACAAGTTCTTAATTTATTCTGAATCATTTATTTTTTCCCTCCTAGCAATATATTGTTTTAATAGATGTTTGAAGAAACATCAATGGGTCTCCAGATCTCCCGGACACATTGTACTTTAGGAGCTAGGGAGGGAGATGTATTACAAAATAGCTAATCCTGGGGGCTGAGGCTTGGTGTTCAGCATTTGTTGTATGACCTTGGGATGTTCCATAACTCACCTAAGCTTCTGCCTCTTCCATTTTACTAATAGATTTATTGCAGGGATTCAATGATTATATGTTATATATGTGTATACCAACGTAAGCACTGTGTAGCATAGCACGCACTCAATAAACATTCTTTCCTTAAAGTTTAGAAGAAAGGTAATGCCCAATAGACTCAAATACAGCAGGTCCTTGAGTAATGTCATTTCATTCGAAGTCATTTCATTATAATGTTGATGGGAGGGGGGAGGCATCAATTCCAGGCCGGGGTCACTATCTATTTGGAATTTAGTCTGTAAAGGTTTTCTCTTTGGACTCCGGTTTCCCCCTACATCCCAAAAGCTGTGCACATTAGATGAATACATGTGTTTAAATTGTCCCAGTCTGAGTGAATGTGGGTGTGAGTGTGCCCTGCAATGGAAGAGTGTCCTGTCTAGGGAGGGTTCCCACCTTGCACCCTGAGTGTAGACACAGGCTTGGGCCACCCATAACCCTGAACTGAATTAGTGGGTTGGAAAATCATTTTCTTACTTGCTATTATTAATCTTCCTTAAATGTATGTATAACTCACATTTATTTCAATGTTTAATATTAGAAGTGTTTTGGGTCTTTATTTAGGGGTTTGGTGATGTTTTTGTGGCCAGATATATGCCATAGGGACTTCACTCTTGTTTATATCAGTTAGCATATGGTAAAACTGTTTTTGTTATACATTGTTTTGCTTAAAGTCGCAGTTTCCAAGAACCTATCGACAACATTAAGTGAGGACTTAACATAGCATAGTAAGATCTTCGTATGTGACAAAGTCCAAGTTATACGATTTCATTTTAAATTAATGATTTCTGCCCTAACTGGTTTGGCTCAGTAGATAGAGCGTTGGCCTGCAGACTGAGGGGTCCCAGGTTCGATTCCAGTCAAGGGCCAATGCCAGGGTTGTGGGCTCGATCCCCAGTAGGGGGAGTGCAGGAGGCAGCCGATCCATGATTCTCTCTCATCACTGATGTTTCAATCTCTCTCTCCCTCTCCCTTCCTCTCTGAAATCAATAAAAATATATTTTTTAAAAATAATAAAATAAAATAATTTCTGTTGTGTTATATGTAGGAAGAACATGCTCTTTTCCAGCTTGAAGAAGGAATTGAAGCTTTGGAAGCTGCAATTGAGTACAAGAATGAAAGTATCCAAAGTCGCCAGAACTCGCTCAGAGTTTCATTTCAAAACCTCTATCATAGTGAAGCAAACGTCTTGGAAAAACTAATTGCCCTGAATCCTACTGAGATTAGAGCTATCCTTTTCAGATATTTCAATAAGGTTAGTTTTTGAGAGAGAGAGGATTTTCTTCTAAAGAGGAGTCAAGATGCTTACACATCTCACATATTTAGAATTTTTAAGGAAATTAAAAGATATATAAAAATGGTGTAACTCCAGATTTAAGCATGATTTCTCTTTACAGTACTGCATGCTGTCATCTGAAAGCTTTGTGATTATCCAAGTATGTATGCCTATCTTGGTGTGGTTCTTAAATTTGAAGGGCCTTCTGAAATAAGAGCTTTTTGAAGTAGTTTTTTAAATCAAAGAATTTACATTCCTCAGTCACTGCTTCTTGATGTTTTCTAGATTTGGATGTTGCTAATCAGCACTCGTGAAAAATCAAGGGCCTCCAAGTTTGGGTTACCTTTCTTTCATTGCTGTAGGAGAGGGGTACACTTATTTTTTTCATCATAACCTCTGAATTGATATGGAGCTGAAGTGGTACATCACTGGCAAAGACAGTAATAGAGATTTTAGCACTAACCTGAATACGCTTAATATGAATAAATTTATTTTATACTAGAGGCCCGGTGCACAAATTTGTGCACCAATAGAGGGACCCCACCATTGCATGATCAGGGCTGGGGAGGGACGCAGGAGGTTGGCCAGCCTGGGAGGGACCACAGGAGGGCTCCAGGGTGTGTCTGGCCCGTCTCACTCAATCCCGATTGGCTGGACCCCAGCAGCAAGTTAACTTACCAGTCAGAGCATCTGCCTCCTGGTGGTCAGTGCACATCATAGCGACTGGTCAACTGTCTGCCCCCTGGTGGTCAGTGCATATCATAGCGAGTGGTTGAGTGGCCTTAGCATATTATTAGCATATTACACTTTGGTTGAACAGATGACCAGACACTTAGCATATGTTAGGCTTTTATTATATATGATTTTATATGTATTTGACAATTTACTGATCCAGAAATGCTTTGTACCATGGAAAACTATATCCATCTTTTTTCTAATGTATTCTTTAAAAATATATATTATGAAGTGTTAAACAAGTAGATAACTTTTTTCTCTGAAAAGTATATGCAGTTTAAGGGAATATCAGACAACTAATGAGCAATAAAACACTGAAGTTTAAAATAAAGTTCTAATTCTGTTACACAAGTTAAAAAAAAATGAGAAATGAATAGAATTGTTGTGCACAGCCCTCCTCTTGGATAATTATTGTCAGTAGTAAGCTGCTGTTATTGGTGAGAGTGCATTCTATCACTGGGTGTGTGGAGGGCAGAAAAATGGTGGGGTACTCCGAAGGTTTTGGTATAGATAACTCTTTTGTGGTAATCTTAGAGTAAGTGTTCTTAACCCAAAGCGTCCAGGCTAAGGTCAGTGGATTTTCTGATCCTGAGAACCATTGGGAAAAGTATTTTTCTTAAAAGGTCATTATACTATTAACAAGCTCTGTGACACAGACATTTTTACTTCATATCAATGCAGAGAAGAACCCAATGGACTAAATGGACAATCTAAAACCAAACTCGGTATTTAGAGTTTTAAAAATTTTGTCACTTATTTATAACATCCATTATGGACTTCACATGGGGAATTATCTGGCTATTATAAGAGTCTTTAGCTTCTTAATATTTTCTTAGACTAAAGAAATAGAATTATAGGATTATAAATGTAAACTATAATAATAACAGCGTAATATGCTAATTAGACTGGAAAGCTGTGGCAGGTGGAGGCAGAGGAGGCTGACAAGGGCCGTGGTGGGGGTGGGGGCTGAGCCTCTTGCACAAATTTCGTGCATCGGGCCTCTAGTAGGATTATAAATGTCTAAGAAATGTTGGAGGAGCAGTTAGTAGAGCAACATTATACTGAAATAAAGTTACTACCAATTCAGAATCCCAACAAGTTCAAAAGGCTGTTAGGTTATTTTGTGGGTCTGTTACAAAGCATTTGCCTAGTTATACCACGGTGATTAAGGAAGTTCATCTTACATTACCTAATCTGTTGTACCTAAGACAGACTGAAAAGGTCAAAAAATGTATTTTCTAGGTGGTTAATTTGCGAGAAACTGAGCGAAAACTACAGTTACAGAATAAAGAAATTAAAATGAAGATCCTGGAACGGGATAATATGGTTCGTGAATTGGAATCTGCACTGGAACATCTGAAATTTCAGTGCGATCGGAGACTGACCTTCCAACAAAAGGAACATGAGCAAAAAATGCAATTGCTGTTACATCATTTCCAAGGTACCTGCCTGTCCTCTTGTCAGTTCTGTATAGGTGACATGTAGGAGGGGGATTTGGGAAGGAAGATAGAACAGCATTTGATCACTTAAAAGTCCAGCATCTGTAAAGTTACTACTTTTCATGTTTTTCTGCTTTCCATGTTTTGGTTAGCACATGTTGGGATCACTGCCTTGGATGTGGGGCTATTCTTGCTTGAAATGCCACCCCATGTGCTTATCCCCACTGTCACACACAAGAACTGCTGCAACCCTGTTACTTTGTTGGTCTGGTTTTTACATAGAGTTGTGGAATGACTTCTGGCTTTGTGGTGTACAGTTGAAAAGTTTTTATCTCCTAAGGATATAGCAATTGATTTTTAAATTACTTTCCCTTCATAAAATTAAAATGATAGGCTCTGTCAGATTTCTAGTTATATTTCTTGTTATAATTTTCAGCTGATTATAACTTTTATGCATTAAGGTTATATCTTAGGTCAAAATTAGCCTGCCATTGATGGACACATACTGTTACCAGTGCACAATAGTTCAACCATCAACTCTGGTGTGGAAAGAGCTGTCATAGCAGTCAGTCCTCACATTACCTGGGCATATGGCTGGTACACAAGCAGTTGTTATGACAACAAAATCACTGCCCGGGGATACTGGTAATGCTTCAGTCCAGGCTGCTTAGCTGCTTAGTCTTGATTCTTATGCATCTATAGCTGGAAATGCATTTAAAGGGATCTGGAAGAAGCAAACCAAGGAAGCAGAAAATTGGAAAATATGTGAATGTGAGTGCTTAGGCAATTTGCCTCTAAGTTAATTCTATAACCAGTTAATTGACATCCAGTTGCCTGATGACAGGATCCCTTACCTCATAATCATTCAAATGTGTTCTGCTTACCTTAAGACTCTAAAAGTGGTATTTTAATATAATCTTTAATGTACAGGGTGGGGCATAAGTAGGTTTACAGTATGGAAAATAACATTAATAAATAAATAATAATCTATCTATCTATCTATATATATATAAAAGCCTAAGCAACCATTATGACTGAATGACCAGAATGACCAGTCAACCAGTCGATATGGCGCGCACTGAACACCAGGGGGCAGATGCTCAGGAGCTGCCCCCTGGTGGTCAGTGCACTCCCACAGCCAACCTTCCGCAGCTGGCCAACCTCCCGTGGTCCCTCCCCATGGCCGGTCCCTCCCTGCAGCCAGCCGGCCCTGATCTGCCCGCACCGATAGGTCTGGCCCCAATCGGGACTGACTGCCGGCCGGGCCTAGGGACCCCACCCATGCACGAATTCGTGCACCGGGCCTCTAGTCCTATATAATAAAGGGCTGATATGCAAATAGACCAAATGGCAGAACAACTGGTCACTATGATGCACACTGACCACCAGGGAGCATACATACGCTCAATGCAGGAGCTGCTCCCTGGTAGTCAGTGCACCAGAAGCTGGGCGCATGGCTGGCGAGTGCAGTGGCGGTGGCGGGAGCCTCTCCTGCCTCCGCTGCAGCACTAAGGATGTCCGACTGCTAGCTTAGGCCCACTCCCCACGGGCCTAAGCCGTCAGTCAGACATCCCCTGAGAGCTCCTGGACTGCGAGAGGGCACTGGCCGGGCTGAGGGAATAACCTCCCTCCCCCGAGTGCACAAATTTCGTGTACCGGGCCTCTAGTACAATGATAGCGAACCTATGACACGCATGTCAGAGGTGACACGCGAACTCATTGTTTTGGTTGATTTTTCTTTGTTAAATGGCATTTAAATATATAAAATAAATATCAAAAATATACATCTTTGTTTTACTATGGTTGCAAATATCAAAAAATTTCTATATGTGACACAGCACCAGAGTTAAGTTAGCGTTTTTCAAAATGCTGACATGCCGAGCTCAAAAGGTTCGCCATCACTGCTCTAGTATAAGAATAAACCCTGTGTCACCTACTCAAAACTATAAACCTACTTTTGCCTCACCCTGTTATTAGGCTATTTCCTCTTCTTTTGTTGTGTCTTCCTTTGTAATTTAATCTTTCTAGCTTCTTTTGACTTTGTTTTTTTTGTTTGTTTGTTTTGAGGGTTGTTTTTTTCTGTTGTGTTTTTTTTTTTTTTTGTCGAATATTCTCTGGGCCTATAGTCAAAGGCTTGTGACTTTTCATATGCCCACTGTTCCTGATATAAACTTGAAGATACTGATGTAGCTGATGGACAGAGTTCCAAATGTGAACTTTGTATAGAAAAAAACCTTCTGTTCTAAGGATAAATCTAGTTAGTAGCTATTCAGAAAGTGCTTATGAATCATAAAAATGTAGTAAGGTGACTAAGGTATCATTCCTACTTTGAAAAATTTTAGAGGCAGAAGAATCCAAATTGTAGGTGGAAACAAATCCATTCAGGTAACAGATACATTGTAACATAATCTGACCCTTTAAATATGAAAATACATAATTTTCAATCATTTATTTTAAGCTGATTTTAAATTTAAATTTCTATTTTATAGAGCAAGATGGGGAAGGCATTATGGAAACTTTAAAAACATATGAAGATAAAATCCAACAGGTGGAAAAAGATCTTTATTTCTATAAGAAAACCAGCAGAAATCTTAAGAAGAAACTTAAGGAATTGTTAGGGGAAGCAGTTTGGAGGCCACCGGTACCATCTGAATGTAAGCATTTAGTGCCACCTGTCATGCTAACAATGTTTTTCTAGCATTTGGTAAAGTCCGTCTAATTTGTAGTTCAGCTTTTCCCAATTGATTTGGTTATTTAGGATTAGATATTTAACTTCTATTTGACTCTGTAAGCGAAATAGTTCACTAGTCTATGTATAAGACAGAAAGAACCACAGGGAAAATTAATGAATGAATAAATGTATATGTGTGAAGGAAACTACACATATTGCTTGCCAGGTGCCATAGGCTTTTGTATTCCCTAACCTAAAATAACTCCCTTCCACTCTCTCTCTAAAGATCAATGGGAAAAATATCCTCGGGTGAGGATTAATAATAAAAAAAGATATGATTTCAGCTAATTTACTATCCTATTTTGACCCATCTTAAAAAAATTTTTTGTCTATAAAAAGTCATATATAGTCATTATAGAAGAATTTGAAAAATATAGCATAAAAACACACCCATAATTCTATTGAAAACTGTTAACATTTAGTATAATTCTTATCAGTATTTTCCTCATGCTTTAAAAAAAAATAAAGTTGGAATCATATTGGGGATATAGCTTGTATTATATCTTATCTCAAAATGTTCCTCTAATAATAAAGACAATAAACAAGATTGGTTTGAATTATAAAATACAGCAACTTGCCCTAGCTGGTGGGGCTCAGTGGATAGAGTGTCGGCCTGCGGACTGAAGGGTCCCAGGTTCGATTCCAGCCAAGGACACATGCCCGGGTTGCGGGCTCGATCCCCAGTAGGGGGCGTGCAGGAGGCAGCCAGTCAATGATTCTCTCTTATCATTGATGTTTCTATCTTTCTCTCCCTCTTCCTTCCTCTCTGAAATCAATAAAGAAATATATATATATTTTTTTTTTAAATATATTTTATTGATTTTTTACAGAGAGGAAGCCCACTGGGGATGTGCCCGCAACCCAGGTACATGCCCTTGACCGGAATCGAACCTGGGACCCTTGAGTCCGCAGGCAGACGCTCTATCCACTGAGCCAAACCGGTTTCGGCAAGAAATATATTTAAAAAAACAAAACAAAAAACATCACTTTAAAAAAATAAAATATAGCAACTTAAACATATTAAATTCTGAGTTTTCTAAAAAATACTATATGCTTCATAGTTAGTATCCTAATCTATAATAATAAGAGAATATGCTAATTAGACTGGATGTCCTTCCAAACGTCCTTCCGGACGACCTTCCAGATGAAGCAGGGGCTACGAGGGAAGCCTGGGTCCCAGATGCCAGAGGGAAGCCGGTGCTGGCAGCCGGAAGAAGAAAGGCCTACTCTTGCACGAATTTCGTGCATCGGGCTTCTAGTTAATATGTATTAATTGGTATTCGGTTCATTAGTTTTTATAGTACTCTTTTCATTGTCTGCCTATTGGGCTTGTATTTATCTTCTTTGAGTATTTTTAGAATTTTCAAATGCATAAAAATTAATCTTTTGACCAGAATATTGTAGTCACTTTTTGATCATGTCTCTGTATAGTGCATCTGTTTTCTAACATATTTTATGAGAATAGAATCAGTTTATATAGACATGCAGTCTCTGTTCTTGTTTACATATTTCAGTCTCTATCCTTATATCAATTTAAATCACTATAAAACTCTGTGAGGATACTAGAATCAGAAGATCTGGGTTTAATAAAACAAGAAAAAAAAAAAAGATCTGGGTTGGACTCCTAACTTCTTATTTTACTAGCTGTGTGACCTTGGGTGAATTAATCTTTCTCTCATTCGTTCCCTAATGGTAAAATTCTGAAAGAGGGAAACTTTCTATTGTGAAGAATCCAAGATGGGCTTCTCCAGTGAGCCCATCTGTGTTCTTCTGCATGTGCCACTGTGACCTGGGCATTAGGATTTTTAAAACTTCCTATTGACTCTAATGTGAAGCAAACCTTGGGAGCACTGTCTGTGGTCAGCTGTGTGAGGATCTGCTAGTTCTATGTGAGGATCTATGTCATTTGCTCATTCAGGTGTTTTTGAGAGAATTTTAAATACTAGAAAACAAATTATGTTTTAAACCAGGAGTCACAAACTAACATGCCTGCAGGAGCCAGGGAAGCCAAAGTGAGCAGAGGGGACTGCAGCTGTTGTCTAAGTGGGCAGGGGCAACTCTGCTCCAGTTGCTATTCAGAAATTGTCAGTTCTCTTTCTTTTTCTAGAAATGTTGGAAGTCTATATTTTTATACGAAACTTTCCAATTTTCAAATTTTGGGTCAGGTATTATTTTATAGGCTAAGTAAAACCTATCTGTGGATCAGATTTGGCTTGGGAGTTGCCATTGTGCAACTTCTGTTTTTAAACTTGATGTTCATAGGACTAGAAGTATCCTAATCATGTGTCAACGTATGTTAAAGTTGGCATTTTTCATTATATGAGGTCCAGTACCTTTATGGGCTTCCCTTAAGCAAGTTTTTGTCTTTGCTGTTTGATGATTCTATAATTTGGAACTAATTTGTTCCAGCAGAGTGTCCCTCACTGAGGGGCTTTGCTCCCATCTCCATTTTGATAATAGAACCCCAGAGTATATTCAGAGAGTAGAACCCTCCTATCAAGACTAGATTTTCACACATATAATGCCAAGTCCCAGAAGAGTCGCTGGAGATATGGGGCAGAGACAGTATTCTCCAGTGCTGGCTTCACTTAGCTAGGATTTGGAATGTGATCACCAGTGGCAATCCCAGTGGAGGGCAGGTTGGAAGGGAACGAGAGAGGCCCAAACACTTCTGTGTTTCCAGGGAGTACCAAAATCACTAGCAGACTATTTCTCAACTTTGTTCCAGACCAAAAGTTCTCAGTTATTCACATGCAAGATGCCTCGAAGTAAAATCAGAATAGTTCATATTCACACTTATTTTGTCTAAGAAATTATTTAACAAAAAAGCTGAAAGACTATCAGTGATAATAATGAAATCAGTACACTTGAAAACCTATATAATTTTATTAACCAATTTCAGCCCAATAAACTCAATAAAAAAGAAAAACACTAATGTAATAATGTTAGGATGTCATGACTAAAATACCTGCTTTTGAGGAACTCTCTAACTT